TTTGGCACTATTGTAAAAGGAATAGAGTTCTTGATTGTTTTTTCAGCTTGACTATTGTTGGCATATATAAAAGCTACTGACTTGTAAGTATTGATTTGGTACCCTGAGATGCTCCTGTATTCTTTGATCAGTTCTAAGAGTTTTGAAGTTGAGTCTCTGGGATTTTTCAGGTATAGGATCATGTCATCTGCAAAGAGTGAGAGTTTGATCTCCTCTGACCCTATTTGGATACACTTGATCTCTTGCCTGATTGCAATAGCTAAGACTTCTATTACTATGTTAAATAGCAGTGGAGACAGTGGGCATCCTTGCCTCATTCCTGATCTGAGTGGAAATGTTTTCAATTTTACACTATTAAATATGATATTGGCTGTGGATTTCTTTAAATGGCCTCTATCAGCTTAAGAAATTTCCTTTCTATGCCTGTTTTAAGAATTCTGATCATGAACGGATGCTGGATATTATCAAAGGCTTTTTCTGCATCAACTGAGAGAATCATATGGTCTTTGTTTTTTCTTTTATTGATGTGATGTATTATATTTATAGATTTGCATATGTTGAACCAACCCTGTAACCCTGGAATAAAACTACTTGATCATGGTGTATAATTTTTTTTGACGTGCTGTGGAATCCTGTTTGCTAAGATCTTATTGAATTTGAATTGATATTCATTAATCATATTGGTCTATAATTTTCTTTCTTTGTTGGATCCTTTCCTGGTTTGGGTATCAGGGTGATATTTGCTTCATAGAATGTGTTGGGAAGTATTCCTTCTTTTTCTATGCTTTGGAAAACATTGTATAATACAGGTACTAGTTCCCCTTCAAAATGTTTGATAGAATTCAGATGTGAAGCCATCTTGAACTGGACTTTCCTTTTTAGGGAGATTTCGTATTCATGATGCTATTTCAGTATTTGATATAGGTCTATTTAAGATTTCTAATTCTTCCAGTTGTCTAGGAAGGTGGCATGCTTCCAGGTATTGGTCCATTTCCTTCAGATATTCATATTTCTGGGAATAGAGATTTTTGTACTAATCTTTGATGATTTTTTGAATTCCTGAAGTGTCTATTGTTATTTCTCCTTTACCGTTTCTGATAAACAATACTAGAGATTTTACTTTCCTATTTCTGGTTAGGTTGCCCAAGAGCTTATCAATTTTTTTAATTTTTTCAAAAAACCAGCTTTTTGTTTCATTGATCTTCTGAATGATCCTTTTGTTTTCAATTTCATTTAATTCTGCCCTAATTCTGGTTATTTCTTCTGCTGGGTTTGGGGTCGGAATTTTTATATACTTTTATATTTGCTGAGGTTAGACTTGTGTCCTAGGATATGGTCTATTTTGAGGAGCATTCTGGTAGGGTGCATAAATGTTCATTGTCAAAATCTCTTCATGTTGAGTGTTTCTCTTGACAAATAAACTTCCTTATCTTTCTTTATCTTTGTTGGTTTAAAGCCAATTGTATCTGCTACTAAAATTGTAACCCCTATTTTTTTCTGGTTTCCATTTGCCTATGTTATACAAGTTCATTCCTTCACCCTGAGTCTATTTTTATCCTTTAAGGTAAGGTGAGATTCTTGTGTACAGCAGCTATCTGATCTGAGTTTATGTATCCAGTTAACCAGCCTGTGCCTCTTTAGAGGACATAAGTTTAAACTGTTCAAACCAATTGAGAGAACTGATAAGGCTGGTTGTGTTTTGGGTGTCATGATTTTAAGATGTCCAGTGGACATTCTTAATCCTTTCACCACTGTGGAAGTTTGGTTTTGTTCCAAAAATTTCTGGGTGAGTTAACTTTGGAGGTAGAGCATTGCACTGGTCGTTGTGGAGGATGGGTCTGAAAATATCCAGGAGAGCTGGTTTAGTTATGGCAAAATTCTTCAACATGTCTATGTCATTAAAGTATTTGATTTCTCCATAGCAAATGAAACTCAGTTTAGCTGGACAGAGGACTCTGGGTTGGAAGTTGTTTTGTTTTAAGAAATTGAAGGTTGAGGACCTTCTTCTTCTGGCTTGAAGTGTTTTGGCTGAGAGATCTGCAGTTATTCTGATCTTTCTCCTTTTGTAGGTGATGCTTCTCTTATGTTTGGCTGCTTGCAGAATTTTCTCCTTCATCTTAACTTTGGCAAAGTTAATCACAATGTATCTAGAAGATGCTTTATTTGGATTGAGTCTTGCTGGGGTTCTGAAACTGTCTGCTATCTGAAGTTCTAAATCTCTTGCAATGTTTGGGAAATTTTCCTCCAAAATCTCTTCAGTAGATTACAGTAGAGCATCTGTGCCTTTAGGACCATTCTCTTCTCCTTTGGGAATTCCTACAAGATGAACGTTTGATCTTTTGGAGTGATCCTACAACTGTCTCAGGGAATGATCACGTTTTGCTTTCCATTTGTCTTCCTCATTGAGTTTTTCGAACGTTCAAAAGATTTCTGTTTCAGAGATCTTTTCTTCTGCCTTGTCAAGTCTATTAGTGAGCGATTCTACTGTATGTTGGAGCCCTTCAACTAACTTCTTTGTTTCCTTGAGCTCTGCTATCTCTTTTCTCATTATTTTCATAACTTTGGTGAATTGGGCTTTGAATTCATTAATTTCTTGAGACAACTGTAGAACTAGTCTTTGAAATTCAATTTCCATCTTTTCTTCCCATCTATTTATCTTATTTGCAATTCATATTCTGAATTCATTTTCTGACGTTGCGGCCATTTGTCCATGCATGGCAGCTTCAGTTGTGTCTCCTTTGTCCTTTCTTGAGGGGGTTGATCAACTCTGGTTATTCATGTTGCCAGAGTTCTGTTGGGTCTGAACCATGTTTATTTTCTACTGTTTGGTTATTAGAACTGGGAGAGTGATTGAATTGGGTTGCCCAGGTACTAGAAATAGCCCCTTACCAAAGCTCTAGGGTTTGTAATTGTGTCTTATCTCCTACAACCTTACAAAGGCCCCTTTCAGAGTTTTGACTGGAGACTCTGAGGACCTACTTGGTGAGATAATGTAGGCTAGCTCTGTTTTGATATCAGCCAAACTCTACCCTATTAGATTTAAATCTGGACTATGAAGCGGTACAAACAGCTTGGCACCTAGCCCCCACCCTTCAGTTCTTTTCCACTATAGAACTTCAAAGGTCAACCTCAGAATGTCCCAGAGTAGATAGCCCCAGACATGGGTCCCAACCAAATTGTCTCTGGCAGTGCAAACACTGCCCAACAGGGAGGGATTCAAGGACAATTCAAAGCAAAGGGATTCAAAGCACAATTTGAGCCAGGGATCCACACTTCCGCCTGCCAGACTCAGTCCACAGTATTACCTGCTTCTCTGCTCAAAGCCCCAGCTGGAGCCAGGGGTAACACCCCACCCACCAGTCTCAGTCCACACATCTAGCCTCTGGAGAAGGGTCTGGAGTAGTGCCTGCCAAACCAGTTGGATTCGGGGAACCCCTCTTGCCAGTTTCAGTCCACTGCCTGGCAAGCCTCTGTTTGCAGGCTCTGTTAGAATCAGGGCACCGGACCTGCCCTCTGGTCTCAGTCCACACACAGCTAGCTTCTGCTTGCCAGACCAGTTGAAGCCAGGGGACCACGCCCTGCCTGCTAGTCTCAGTCCACTGCCTGGTGAGCCTCTGTTTGCAGGCTCTGTTAGAGTCATGGCACCACATTCTGCCCACAGGTCTCAGTCCTCACCTGGTAAGCCTCTGCTCACCAGCCCCCTGGAGGCAGTAGAGTATGCCCTAGCCCTCAGGGCTTGGTTCAAACTCAGTAAGCCACTGCTAGGGTTCTGTTGGAATCAAGAAACCACGCCCTTGCTCTCAGGTCACAGTCCACGCCTATTAAGCCTCTGATCACAGGCCAACAGCAGAGACCAGCCCTGTCTTCCAAAGTCAGTCCACACAGGGCAACCGCTCTCCTGCTGTGGATGCTGTCAGAACCCGGGGTTCTGCACCCCATCCTGCCAGACACAGCCCAAAACAAGCATCATCACTACCACTGGTCAGGCATAGTCATAACCAAGGGACTGCTCCTCTTCCCACCAAGTGTCCCTTTCTTCCCACACCCTCTTTCTTCCCTGTTAGTCACAGATTTCGTCCTGATGTTGGCGGTCCACACTATGCCCAGGTCTCTCAGGACAAAACCAAACACTCTGCTCTGCAGGGGGCAGAATGTCAGACTGCCATGTGAGGGGGAAAGGGTGCACTGGGAGTTTGGACTTGTGGGGAAAAATATCTATTCAATTTAATGCCTGAGGGGGTGGTGTCTAGGTTCATAAGTGGAACCTCCCTGGAGAAAGAGACCTGGAGTTTAGCAGCTCTCTCCAGTGAAGTAAAATAAGAAGTCTTTTGTTCCCTGCTCATTCGCAGATAGCCTGTGGCAGACCTCCTGCTTGGGGGAGGGGTCTCCCATCCTCTAGTCAGTAGGCTTTGTACGTATAATTTGTTTTCTTGAATGCTCTTCCTTGGGGTTACAGCTTTCTTGGCTCAGCTCCCTATCTTTGGCTTCATAGAATCTGATTCCATCCAGTTTTTCTGCCTTTGCTCAGGAGCCTCTGACAAGGGTTGCTACCAGTCAGCCATCTTCCCAGATTTCCTCTGTATCCCTTTTCTGAGTTGGTTTTTGAACAAACCTTCAAGGACAAAGAAGAAATTTTCCTTTGTCTCCTACATTGCTCTTTGATATTAAAATGACATTACTGTAATAGCTTGGGCTGCATCACTGTATAATTGCAGTTGTTAGGGTACAGGTAACTTGAATTTAACATTAGGCAAGGTACAAGATTTCCTCAGGATAGTCTTACTATCAAGCAAAGCCCTTTCACACTACAGAAAACTATGGTTCTTAGATTTTTCTATGATCCCACTGAGGTCTTCCTGGAAACATCATAATATTATAAAGTGAAACCTAAATATCCAGAATAATTTTCCTATAGGTTGGATTGCAGGACCTAGGTCTTGTTTAAATTTCTGTGATTATTTTCTCATTTCTTTACTATTCTCTCTCTCTCTCTCTTTTTTTTAAATATGGAACACTTCACGGATTTGCGTGTCATCCTTGTGCAGGGGCCATGCTAATCTTCTCTGTACCGTTCCAGTTTTATGTGCTGCTGAAGCAAGCACTTTTCTATTCTCTTTAATGTTATGTTTTTCCTCACTCCCTCTTTTTCTAAAACCTTTAGGCTTATTGATAGTATGTGGTGTCACTGGCCTCTTCTTTATAATAAAGAGAGAAAGTCACAGAAATGTGAGTGCTTTTGATTTGTTGCTTTAAACAGTAAAATCATATGCAGGCTGGAATGTAAAGAGCTAATTTGGTTAATCCAATTAACTTCATAATGCAAGTGCCACATATCATTAATGCTGTTTCCTCCCATTTGTTTAATGGATTATCTAATTGGTTTAATACAGAAAAAGTAAAACAGAATTAGAGTCAGATGTTGAAGGATTTTGCTAAGAGATTGTGGGATAGAAAAGAAACAACATGGGATTCTATAACTACAAAGATTAAGCATGAAAGAAGTTTGATGCATTCCATAAATCTTTAGATTTATTTATTTATTTATTTATTTATTATTTTGTAGAGACAGAGTCTCACTTTATCGTCTCGGTAACTAGATTTATTTTTAACAGAATGGAATTTATGAAATTATATAAATTAATGGCAAGGCTTATAAATTAATTTTCCAGGTGCCCCTTATACATGGGCTGGAGAGGCCTTAAGCCATCTATCCTTGAGTCAGAGGGAATTTAAGCAAATCCAGCCCTAAGTTATGTGACTAGACTTATATTAAGTTGGTTGTCTTTGCTCTATTTCTCTCTTTCCTTTGATCCATTATCAAATTAATTCCGAATTTTGAAAACTATGCTTTTGGGAACCCCTGTCCCAAACACATACCAGTCTGACTGAGACATTCCCTCACTCTCTCCTCAGCTCCTGTTTCTCTTCCTTTCTTCTTTATTTCTTCATCTTGAAAATAAAAGTAGATTAGTTTTAAGCTTTTAGAGTACTAAATAATTTAAGTGGAAAGAAAAAACATGTTTCTATATTCTGACAAAGCAGTGAGAACTTTTCTCAAAACTTTGGAGCTAAAATATAATCTTTGGTTTTGCTTTTATTTTATAAAAAAAAAAACAAGGGTTTTTTTTGTGTGTGTGAGTTTACATACCAGATATGTCCCTTTAGCTTCTTATTTTATTCTTTGTAAGGTTTAAACACAGCCATTACACATAGTGCACAACTGTGAGTTTTTTTTGTTAATTCAAACAGAAATTTCTTGTCTTTAAACAGAATTATGCACATCTTAATTCTGCTGTTATTTTATAACTTATATATTTTGTACTTTTCTTTCCTCATACCTCCGCTTATGCTAGACTACAAGTTTATTTTTAAACTAATTTTCCCTGTTTTGTGTGTTATTATTATTCTAATGAAATCTCACATATTTTACTGTTATGTGTAAAATAAGAAAGATTGTCTGCGTTTATCCAACAACTTAAAAAATTAGTCAGTGCCAGCGGGAAACAAAGAATATAGAACTATTTCCTTCCCTTGTGTCATGTTGTGAGTCTGTTGGAATCATCTGAAATTCGAGCTGCAGGCTGCTGTTGTTTGTGTTAGCAATCTGTATACCATGCCCCTTTCACTTTACAAATCTCCTTCATAAATGCATTGATCATCATACTCACATCATCACAAATCTGTTTCCAATACTCTTTTTTAAAATTAACTCATACATTAGCTAATGTCCACTGTCATCTGTGGTTCAAATTCAGTCAGAACAAACCCTCCCAGGAGTGGTAGAGTGTGGCAGGCAGAGGTGGTGCCCACAGCTGTCCTGGTATCCTTGGACTTGAACTCCACTCTATTTCCAGATTCCTGCAGTAGAAATCACCTTGCCAGCTCAGGTGCCACTGCAACTCTGCATGAGCTCCAAAACCTCTAAAACGAGGTGTTGCATGTGTAATATACCTTACTAATTCTTTTGGTAGAAAATGAGTTTTAAATAGCCACAAGTTACAACTCTTGCACCCACGTCTACTACCCTTCTCTCCTTTGCCCTCCTGTGTTAGACGTAACCACCCACCCAGGTATTTCAGCAACTATCTATGCCTTGTCCTGTCCTTCGGGAGAAGCAACCCAGCAGGGCCTTATAAGTTTTTGTGTTCTCTTTCTCTTTTTACTCTATTTCTGTGCTTCTGTGCAAGGAAAAATTATAGGATTTATGTCATAACTCATCAATTATGACATGATCTTCTATAGATAGATTTAAGAGATAGATGTATTCAGTTTTACCTTCTTTCTCTTTATTAAAATTGTGTCTCATAACTTTCCTCTTATTTATTTTTAAATTTATTTGTCATTTTCCTTATTACTTAAGCTGTTATTCAACTGAGAAATGTATTTTTAATTTCGAATTTGTGCATTGTGTACTTTTGGAATCAGTATGTGCCAAACTGACACTTGAAGGGAAGTTTGGCTGGGGAATGTAGAACAACAAATTAAAATTATGCATTTTTTTCCCTAGGCTACATGATGTTTTTATTGTCTTATTACACTTATCCTGAGCCCAGCTTATTGTTTTTTTTTCTCTCTAGAATTTTTAGGAGATTCTCTTTGTTCTCTTTATCCTATCAAAGTGAGACTTTCCTTGATATTCAGTTGACATTTCCCATCTGAGAACTAAATCTTTTCTTAGTTCAGTTAATTTTTTCCCTCTGGCTTCTTCTGTCTTCCTCTCTGTGTTCCTGTCCTCTCTGTATTCTCTTGTACTTTTCTATAACATAAATTAGAGTACTATTATATATAATTTTGCACATATCTTGCATTTCTCTTTGAATTTTGTCTCAAGTCAAGCTCTTTCTATTGTTACAAAGTTGGGTGGAATGGCTGTTTAATTTTTTCCACTTCTAGTCCAATTTTCAGAAATATCAGTTTTGTTATATTTTTTGCAACTGATGTTCTTAATATGTAAGAAGTTTTTCCTTCTTAGTGTTTTTTTAACAGTTTATTATTGCTTTTCAGTACAATGCTCTCTTAAGTTTTTTTCTGAAAATACTATTTAGAAGATACAACAGGAGAAAATTTAGCTGACCTTGGGAATGTAGACTTTTTAGTTATAACAGTGAAAGCAGAAGCTACCAAAAACATTATAAGCTGGGCATCACTGAAATTAAAATCTTATTTTCTAAAGACAAGATACAGAAGCCATGAACTAGGAGAAAAGTTTTACAAAAGACACATCTGACAAAAAATTATTATCCAAATTATACCAAGAACTTTTATAATCAAACGAGAAAACAAACAGCCCAATTAAAAACAGGGCAAAAGTCCTTAAAAGGTGTATGCACCTCATTACAGAAGATACCCAGACAGCAACAGGCACATGAAGAGATGCTGCACATCATTTGTCAGAGAAACTCTGTATTTTCCTCTCAATTTTTCAGGGAACCTAAAACTTTGCTAAAAAACAAAAATAAAGTCCAAAAGAAATAATAATGATAATTTAAAAATAAGCAAGCCAGGAAAAGACATGAGTGAGTCTTAAATGCGTATTTCTTAGGGAAAGAAAGGGACTGAAGAGGTTACACAGTGTACAGTTCCAACAGAATGACATTCTGGAAAAGGCAAACGTTCAAAGACAATGAACAGCTCAGTCACTGCAGAGGACTTAGGAGGGTGTGGCTAATTATGTGAAGTACAGAAAGTTCGTTGAGTTGGTGAAACTATTCCACTAGATGATATGATATTGAACATAATGTTAATAGAGTACATATTTATCAAAACTCATAAATATTTTGGGGTTTTTTTTTTTTTCACTACCTGTTATTTTTATTTACTTACATTTTAAAGTTTATTTTACTTTTTCCTGTGGTGTGAATACATGAATACTGAGATTTGTGAGCATCCTGTGTAGCCTCAGTGACCGTGGATACAAGGTTGTAAGAAGCTCTCTAGCACCTGTGTTGTGCAGCACTGACACTTCTGACCTGTGAGTATCATCTCTCCATTTCCCCTGTCTGCACCTGGCACCCACCACACTCCTCTCTGCTTCTATCAGTTTGACTATTTTAGATGACTCATGTAAGTGGAATCATAAGGTATCTGTCTTTCTATAACTGGCTTATTTCATTTAGAATAAAGTCTTCTAGGTCCATCAGTGTTTTTGCAGATGGCAGAATTTCCTTTTTATTTTAAGGCTGAATAATACTCCATTGCATGTAGATACATTTTTTTATCCCTTCATGTATCAGTGGACATGTACATCACTGTACATCTTAGAGCTAATGAATTTCTATTCTCTTTATTTTGTATGAGACAGAATCTCATTTTGTCACCCTGGGTAGAGTGCCACAGTGCCTTGGCCTTCCAGAGTGCTAGGATTACAGACCAGAGCCACCACACCTAGCCTGTGAATTTCAAATCTTTTGAATATATACCACAAAATGGAGATGCTCGCTCATACAGTAGTCCTATTTCTAATATTTTAAGGAATTTCTATACTGTTTTCCATAGCAGCTGAACCATTTTGCATTCCCACTAATAGTGTACAGAGGTCCTAATTTCTCCACATCCTTGCTAACACTGTATTTTGCTTGCTTTTTTTTTTTTTTTAATAATTGCTATTCTAACAGGTGCAAGATGATACCACATTGTGGGCTTAATAGCTCATTGCATTTCCCTGATGATTAGTGATATTGGGCATCCTTTCATATACCTGGTTTTGCTCACTTGTCTGTCTTCTTTGTAGAAATGCTTATTTACATCTTTTCAAAAAAAGAAGGTATAAATGCTTATTTGCATCTTTTCTGTTTCCATTAGGTTATTTGGGTTTTTACCATTGAGTTGTAGGACTTCTTTTCAGATATTAACCCTCTATTAGACATAGAGTCTGCAAATATTTTCTCCCATTCTGTAGGTTGCCTTTTCACTCTGTTGATTGTTTCCTCTGCTGTATAGAAATTTTTTTTATTTTAATGAAGTTTTACTTTTTTACTTTTGCATTTGTAAAATTCATAAAACTTTATAGAACAAAGAGTAGGCTTAACATATGTAATTTTAAAAATCATGTAGGAGGTCAGAGAGCCCCAAGATGCAAGGCAGAATTTGACAAAGTATTCTA